CAGCTTTTGGATCAGCATGGCAGAAGCACCTCCTCCTCCGCTACAAATACTGGCAAGACCACATTCTCCTTGCTTCAAGGCATGAGCCAAATGGACAACAATCCTGGCTCCACACATCCCAATTGGATGTCCAAGAGAAACAGCTCCTCCATTGATATTCACTTTTGGGGGATCAATCTCTAGCATTTTAATGTTTGCTAGTATGACTACACTAAAGGCTTCATTTATTTCCCACATTGTAATACCTTTTTTTTCAATCCTTCATCTTTTAAGATGCACCTGCATCTTAGGTGCAGCATATGCAGGTGCAACTGGAAAATCAATAGGTTCTACAGCAGCATCAGCAAATGCTGCTATTCTTGCCAGTGGTTTAACATTGAGCCTCTTGTTGCATCTGCAGTCATCAGAACCATAGCAGCTGCTCCATCATTCAGTGTGCTGGCATTGGGAGCTGTTACTGTACCATTCTCTTTTTGGAAACCCGTCTTCAGCTTTGGAACTCTGTTAAAGTCAACATGTTTATATTCTTCATCTTCTTTCACCACTACATCTGGTTTACCTTTTACTGTAATTGTGACAGGAACAACTTCACTTGCAAATTTTCCAGCTTCTCATGCTGCTTTACTTCTGGTATAGGAGTTAACTGCATAAGTATCCTGTTCATCTCGTGCAATATTCAGCTTCTTTGCAGTATTTTCAGCACAGTTGCCCATATGAATTTTATTGTAGACATCAGTTAGCCCATCTTTTACAATCAAATCTTCAAGCTTTACCCCACTATATGGTGTTGCTCCTCTGTTCGTTACGTAGGGAACATTGGACATGCTCTCCATCCCACCTGCCACCATCACATCCTGATGTCCACACGTAAGATTCTGAGAGGCCATAACGATGGCTTTCATTCCTGAGGCACAAACTTTAGTTTACAGTGGTACATGGAGTAGAAATAAGTAAGCCTGCACCCAGTACTGCTTGCTTTGTAGGGGCTTGTCCTCCACCTCCTTGTAGAACATTAGCCATGTATGCTTCTTTCACTGCTTCTTTTGGAAACCCTGCCTTTTCAATGGCTCCCTGAATTGCAATGGAACCAAGCTCAGTGGCTGGCAGAGAGGAAAGGCTGCCTAGAAAGGACCCAATGGGTGTTCTTGTAGCACTTACTATGACCACTTCATTCAAAGTGGGTTTTGATCATAACTTCGTTCCACATATCTTATTTCCTGCATCCGCCTCTGAAGCAGGGGGCTGTGCCTGCGGGCACCACCGCGCAGAAGGGCCGCCAGCACAGCCATGGTCACCGAGCGTGGAGCGGAGAGTTACCGGCGGAGAGATGTGGTCATGCGCCGCGGGTCCCTGATCCCGCTTCCTCTATGGTATTAAAGGTGTTCCAGTGATGCTTATATCTTTTACCTGGAATGACGTAACACAAAGCGGCCCAGATGACACGTGCATATATGGTGAGTTGCATTACCTGAAAGGAACCCTGAACTTAGGGAACTAGAATCTTTTTTTTTGGCTGCGTTGGGTCTTCGTTGTGGTGCGTGGGCTTCTTAGTGCAGTGGCTTCTCTTGTTGCAGAGCATGGGCTCGAGGCATGCAGGCTTCAGTAGTTGTGGCATGCAGGCTTCAGTAGTTGTGGCATGCGGGCTCAGTAGTTGTGGCTTGCGGAAGTTTATATACATAGTAAAACATACACAAAAAAGAAGAAGGATGAGCTAAAGATGAACTGTAGAAAATTCTCTTAATTTTATTTATTAATAATTCAGAAAGCAAAGTGACGCTTTACTATTCTTTAAAATCTTGGTTTAATATTTTGTGATATAGCTATTCAGAGGTCTATTTCTAAATTCAGGTTTTTTTAAAAAATAAATTTATTTATTTTTGGCTGCATTGGGTCTTCGTTGCTGCATGCAGGCTTTCTCTAGTTGCGTTGAGCGGGGGCTACTCTTCATTGCACTGTGCAGGCTTCTCATTGCGGTGTCTTGTTGCGGAGCACGGGCTCTAGGCGCATGGGCTTCAGTAGTTGTGCCACGGGGGCTCAGTAGTTGTGGCTTGCGGACTCTAGAGCACAGGCTCAGTAGTTGTGGCGCACAGGCTTAGTTGCTCCGTGGCATGTAGGATCTTCCCAGACCAGGGCTCCTGCATTGGCAGGAGGATTCTTAACCACTGCATCACCAGGGAAGCCCTATTCAGAATTTTCCAATCAGAAAATCTGGAAAGAAGTTATTCTAATTTCCACGTATATTTAAGTGCTGTGTTATGATCAAACATTTAAAATTTTTATTACTCATAGGGAGACACAATAATCTTTTCAGCACATTGGGACTCTAAACAGTTTAATCCTTCACAATTTGCCTCTGGCCCTATCCTCAGCTCACTTCACAAAAAGATGTGAGGCAATGGGTGGATGTTTTGGGGATTCATTGCGTTGCTGTTACTCTGTCATCCAGAAACAGGTGGTCTTATGATATAAGGAAGCCTACTGAACGTTCATGCACAGTGGTCTCTTGGACACTGCGATTTCTCTGGCTGGATGAAATATATGTTCCATGTTGGAAATCCCCAGTATACAGGGATGTTTGCTAGCTAGAACACATTAATCTGGGAAATAAGGGGTGGAGAGCGAATAGTTATTTTTAGATTTCACTTAATAAACCTAGCAAAAGTTTTGCTTTTTTGTGTTCTAAACTTTGAGCTCTGATAATCAAGTGGCCTATGTAACCAGTGTAGAAATACCAGTGAAAGCAATAATGATCCCACTGAATTGGAAACCAAGACAGCCATGTAGCCATTTTTGGTTCCTGATGTATTAGGAAAACAGGCACAACAGAGGATAATCAACCTTAATGAGGAAAAATAGAGATGCTATAACACGCTGAGGACCAAGATCAATTGGGTGGATCCAAGGCCACAAATTTCTACTACCAAGGATACCCCCGGATAAAGATCAATGGAAACTAACTTACAGAGTAATAGATATCTGATTACCAAAGGGCAGGTTTACCAAAGGCTCGGATCCTTCACAAACGAAGACATTTCATTCTTCTGGGCAAAGGATCCTAATCAGGTGAGGTGCTGTTCAGAGGCAGGGCAGCACATGGAATGTGTGGTAGAGAGAAAAAATCTAATGCCAGCTTTAGCGTTAGTTACAGGGTCACACATAATTCACATTTCTTGAGTTTTGCTAAAGTATAATAATCATCACCATTTCCTCCTTTTCAACAGAAATTAAGAGAAATTGATGGCACCTAGAGATTCTGGACTCCCAAGAACAGTGGCTCTATGACGTTACTGCTGGACCCCATCATTAGATATGACTTTGGATGGTGTCTTTTGGGGGAAGAGGTGAATGAATTTGTGGTTACATGTAGAGTGAATTCTCTTAGCAGGGGCATCTTTGAACACGCAGGAAGACAGATGTGTACGTGGCATACATCTACGTGCTCAAATAGCCAAAAGATGACGTGTATAGACCACAGTACAGAATCTCAGGTTAAATAACTTTCCCAAGATCACACAGCTAGTAGGTGATGGAGCTAGATAAAAACCAGGCTGTGAGACATTAATACTAGGGACAAATGAGTGTGGGTTATACGAGAACCCTCTGTACCACCTTCACAACTTTTTGGTAAATCTTAAACTATTCTAAAATAAAGTTTATTAAAAGAAGAAACACAGGTTGTTAGACTCTGGAGCTTACACTTTTAACTTCTGTGCCATGTTTTATCTCTAGAGCCCTGGCCCAAGTGATGTTCTGAAGTGTTGACAAACTCCTGTTTTCCTAGGTCTCCAGAATGGTTCTCATTCTTCCCCATGGACAAGAACTGATTGTCCAGATTTTGCTTTGATTTTCTGGCTTTCTGTAGTATCCTTCCAATAAATTTCCCTTTTTATTATAATTAGACAGAATGGCTTTCTATCACTTACAACCTAACAACAACAGGTAACAGAGTATTCACAGAGCCAGGCACTGCTCTGATTACTTTGCATGTATTAATTCATTTGACCCTCACAACAGCCCTGTTAGGTAGGTATTAATATTATTCCCATTTTACAGGTGAAAACACTTAGGCACACAGAAATTAAATAATTTGCTCAGGTCACACATCTAGGAAGTGGCAAACCTGGGATGTCTGGCTCCGGAGTCTAACTGTTGGATCTACCTTGCCCACTATCCTCTCAAAAGAACTTTCATGATAGACAGGTACGGCCACTGTTTACAGTTCTCAGAGCTGGGCTCTCCTGGACTGGATGCCTAGCCTCTCCCTATGTTGTCAAGAGCAGTCTGCGGCTCCTCCTGAGCTTTTCCAGGAGGGTGTCACTCTCTGATCTCCAAATGCATTGGCCATCTTCTGACTACCTGGGGACAGGTGCTCTGAGAGTACACAGAGGTGAATCTTTTGGAATTCTACATGTTGCATGTAGTTTTGTAAATAAGAACCTCACCCAGACCCCGTGTTCATCCAACCCCACGATGGGGTCACAATTCATTCTCTTTAGGTGTTACAATCTGGTTTTGAATTTGCCTCAAGAAACCCAAATGGTTTCATCTTTAATTTCCATGAGGCTCTGAAAGCACACATGGACAGGAGCCTCCTTTATCACCTATCTTTCCCTGGCAGGATTGCATTCTACTCATATTCCAACCTGAAAAGGGCAAGGCACAGAATGGGCTCCAGTCAACAAAAGCTGAAAAATACAGAACACACATTCCACACAGAGATGGTTATTATTTTGTATTTTTCTAAAAACCAAGGAAAATCCTCTATTATAAGTGTTGACATAAGAAAATTTTCCATGTATTCAAAATAAGAGAATGGAATGGTAAACATGTTGACAAATAGCAATTTGAGTTAAAATGGTAATTCTATAGTATTTTAGCTAGTTTTTACATTAACATTTAAATATATTTTTTTTCTAGGAGTTGTCTAATGAAACTAGGAAATAAAGAGAAAATTATGATTACCATTTGTTCACTATTCAGATTTTCAATCGATGAGCCAGCTAATTAGCAGTAATATTTGTTGAATTCACATTGTTTGTCCTAATCAATTTTTTGCATGTATCCCATGGGTGGATGTTACGTATCTGGAACATAAATGCTATAAAAATTAATCCCCCTAGCAGTACAGCTGCTGCGAGGGCAATAAGTGTGTGTCCTGGAAATGGCAGAGGGGCTTCGTCAACATAAATCTGCAACAGAAAAAGCAAAGTCTTTAAGCTTTCTGAACCCAGTAATTCAAAACCCTGAACTTGACATGATTCCCATAGTGGTGGAGACATTGTTACTCATTTAGCAACATTCTGTCCAGACCGATATAGATATTTAGCTTCCACAAAGTTTACAAACGGTCTCTTGACAATTTGACAGGTGGTGAATTTCCACATGATACATAGGGAATAGGCAATCGATTTATATCCTATTCCTTTTTCCTATGTCTTTAGTGGCAGAGGTGAGCAGATAGAACATTTACACAGCAGGAAAACATTCTGTGTTCAGTTACAGAGGAACAGGCAAAGTGCTGCGGGAACATGGTTAGAAGTGCCTAACTGCTTAGAGTTATCAGGTAATGTGCTTCCTGAGCTGGATCTTGAAGAATAAGAGAAGGAAGAGAAGGTACATTCAAGGTATAGGGAATAAGCATGGGCTCTTCCAAACTATCTCCTCTTTAGAAATCCTCTGTACAAGTGCTGACATTGGGAAATTTCTGTATATTCAAAATGTTTCCTCTGCCTGAATGGCTAATTAATAAAAACAATTTTCTAGAGGGGAGACAGGATCATTGACAGAGGCATAGAGTCGTCTTTTTCTCTGAGACTAGAGGCAAAGATGGGTGCCAGAGACGTTACAAGTAGAAGTGGGGGCATATGGAGAATAAGGTGGTTCAAGCTTATGTTTTCCCAGTGAAGTAGGAAGGAAGATCATCTTTGGAGGTAGAAGAAAGTAGAGATGAATGAAAACAGGATGGCAGGAATGTGGGAAAATGCCAGGACAAGATAAAGGATTAAAAAGCTGCTTTAGGGTATAGATCAAGTTAAAGGTATCTCCATCCTCCCAGTGACCTAAGGATGTATCTGTGTTTTAAGAAACAGTCCCATAAGCTATGAATTCTTTTATAATTTCTCTCACATTCATTCTTTCTATTCCACTTTTGTTACCACTATTGTGAGTTTTAATACCTCACTTTGTATAAATAAGCTCCCCTAACAGCTTTCGATGCTGTCAATCCATGTTGACATAATAACATTCCCAGATTAATCTTTGTAAAACATCAGTCTGTCTATAAAATTTTTTTTTAAACAAAGAGAGATTGCTTCATTTGTGACGAGAAGAATCTTGACTACATAGAACTGGTACCAGAAATGGAGTATTGTAAGCAACAGTATTTAGAAGGTGGATCTGGCCAAGTGGTGTGGAAAGCAGAGAAAAACTGTGCTTTCCAATCTGGGAACATAATTATCTTCATGGTAATGGACCACCTGGTTTAACCATGTCCTATTGTACTTGGAGGTTCAGACAATGTGCCCAACGCTACTGGAATTATTGGGGATTTGATAGACAAATATTACATATTGGATATGATATGCTACTTGTGTTTTTCAATATGGTGCTACAAGATACCAAAAATCTTTCTTTTAAAGGTGGCCCATCAGAGGAGGTTGGATAATAAGCTTTGTAAGAATGATCTAGTCTGTTTGTGGTAAATGAGAGCCAGGCACTGCTCTGAGAGAGAGAATTGTGCACTACATGTAATCTCAAAACGGAATTTTCTTTTCTATGCTAAAGTTAGGAAGAGCCAGAGGAAACTACCCACTGTAATCATAATTTATCTTTTTCTCTGTTCTGCTTCCTCAGTGTTGGATAACTCCCTCCATAGTCCCAACAGTCCTTATGGCTGACAGTAGCTCCTGGGGCTGCAAACTTCCTTGTTCAATGTCATTAAGAAAGAGCAAGTCCATGTCCCAGCACTTTGAGCAAAAGTCCTGTGATTCACCCTGACTGGGCAGGCGTAGATCATGTGCTCATCCCTGAACACCCCTTTTCAAAATGTTTAATAGTTTCTCATTGTTGACAGGAATGTTCCAAAGTTCTCATCCAGACATTCAAGGTCTCCCACAATGGGACCCTAACCTACCCACTTTCTTATATATAACCTTACATTCCAGCCAAATGGATCAACTACTGAAGAGATTGCTTTATGACTTCCTATATCTGTGTCTTTGCTGCTGTTATTCTTTCCACCCAGAATGCCTTTCTTACCCATTTCTGCCTAAAACAAAATTTCAGTCACCTTATCAGAAAATATAAAAATTTCACTTGCTTAAGTCGTCTATTATATTTCTTAGAAACCTCTATCACCTGTGAATCCTGTATTCTCCAGCTAAACTGCTATCTCTAAAGTTCCTGAAAACAGTTTTTTCTTTAAATGTTTCCCTCCCAATCTTCTAAATATTCCATGCCATGTCTAAAGAAAAGTTGAACCCCAGAATCATAAAAGAGTATGTTCTAGACACAATGTCTTTTTATCATCAAAATACTTCAATTTGTGCTTCTTTAATGCAAAGAATTCACTTAACCAGAGTGCAATTATCAAAACCAGGATATTAACTCTGAGACAACGCTATTATCTAATCTCCAGATTTTACTCAAATTTTATCAATGATTCCAATAATGTCCTTTAGGATGAAAGAAAATCCAAGATCATGCTTTGCATTCCATTGTTTCAGGATACTTGCAAAAGTAGATTTCAGGAACCTTTGTCTTTTTCTATTGTTTCTTTTTTTTTTTTTTGCAGTACACGGGCCTCTCACTGTCGTGGCCTCTCCCGTTTCGGAGCACAGGCTCCGGACGCGCAGGCTCAGCGGCCATGGCTCACGGGCCCAGCCGCTCCGTGGCACGTGGGATCTTCCCGGACCGGGGCACGAACCCGCGTCCCCTGCGTCGGCAGGCGGACTCCCAACCACTGCGCCACCAGGGAAGCCCGCTATTGTTTCTTAATGATTCTCTTCCTTTATTAACTATGCAATCACTTCCTATTTTTCTTTTATTCATTTTCGTGGTTCTTCCTTCATTCCTGAAGCTTTGTTTCTCTCTGTTGACACTTCTTTTTAGCCCGAAGAACTTCCTTAGGCATTTTTTCAGTGAAGTTCTGCCTGCAGTGGATTATCGTATTTTTCCTTCATCTGAAATTGACCTTTATTTTCCCCTCATTCCTCAAGGATATTTTCACTACAGCTATAGAGTTCTGGGTTGACAGTCCTTCCCCACACTACAACTGTCCCCAGTACATTAAGGATGTTGTACAACTTTCTTCTTCTGTGGTTTCTGATGAGAAATCAGCAGTCATTCAAATAGTCTTTCACTTACATGTAGTGTTTTTCTCTGGCTGCTTTCAAGATTTTCCTTTGTGTTTGATTTTTAGTAGCTTGATTATGATTTAGGCACATTCAGGTGTAGTGTTTAGGCATGATTTTTTTAAGTTCGTCTTGTTTGGGATTCATTAAGCTTCTTGAATTTGTCCATTTTGTGTTCACCAAATTTAGGACATTTTCAGCCTTAATTTCTTCAGCATTGTTTTTCTTTTTTTCCCCTGTACTAATCTCTTTTTTCCTCTCCTTCATGGACTCTGGTGACATAAGTGTTAGCCCTTTTGATACTGTCACATAGATCCTTGAGGCTATTCTTTTTAAAATCTTTTTTCTCCAGGTTGAATTTTTACTGATTTATTTTCAAATTCACTGATTCTTTTCTCTGCAATACCCATTCTGCTACTGAGTCCTTCCAGTGATTTTAAAATTTTAAATATTTGTACTTTTCAGTTCTAAAATTTCCATTTTTTTTTAATACCTTCTATTTCTCTGCTGAGAATTTCTTCCTTTCCCTTTGCATTCATTTCAGAAGTGTTTGCCTTTACCTAGAGCATGGTTATAATAGCTGGTTTAAAATATCTGTCTTGATAACTCCATTTGCTATCATTTGCTGATTGTCTTTTCTTTCCCTGAATTGCTTATATTTTCTTAATTCTTGGTATACTGAGTAACTTTGGATTGTATCCTGGATATTTAAGATATTAGGTTTAGAGACTTTGGGTCCTGTTAAAAATTCTCTGGAAAATGTTGAATTCTTTGTTTGTTTCAGCAGTCAGTCACACTGGTTGCATTCAGATCACAAGTAATGCCTTACTGTCTGTGGGCATGCCTCCAAAGTCTGCTCAGTTTTCAAAAAAAGCCTTAGCTATGCTATCATGTCTTCCTGTCTCCTTTGCCACTTAGGGGAACTTAAGTGGGTGTTTATATTGTCGTTTTATTTTGAAGCCTTTGCTAAGCTTCTTTGGGTGTGTGCTACTCGTGTGCTGCTTGGTACTTGCGCTGGTGCATACGCACAATTAGGAATATCCTCCTCCAGCTCTCTTCTCTTAGGGATTTCCCCCGCACTCTCTAGTCCTAGAGGCCCTTTTCCTTAGGCCTCTGGGAAGAAAGCTGGGATTCATTAGAGTTTTAGCCTTCGGTACTGCTGTGCTGTTCTATGAAACTGGGGCTGACCTTGGGACAAAGAGATGAGAAAAAAAGAGAGAAAAATAATGGGGATTTTCTCTCATGATCCTCCTATGACGGATGCTTCTTTTCCTAGATCTAGTGGGATGGATTTTCTCTCAGGGTCTTAGATGTCTGCACTGCTGCCATGGCACCCATCACCACAGTTGTGCAGATTCATTACTGAGGCAGGGCCAGGATAGAAAAAGGAAAAAAGAGAGAGTAAGAGATCTTGTTTTTGATAATGTGGTACCAGTATTTGACAATGAAGGAGCCATTAATCAATTTAATCAAATCCTTATTCCTTCCCACGCACCACAGGCAGCAGATATTATGACATGAATAAACAAAAATGAGTCATTGAACATCACAGGGTGATTTGGAGAGACTGACTTTGGTTTCCAGTTCTTTTGGATCTTGATGGCTTTGGGAGTATTCAAGACTCTACCGTTACAATGCAAATAACCAAAGGGAGGATAATACTGGAAACTAAAGTGTTACAGACATAGGTCTCTGTGGGGAGTTGGGGGGAGGTGGTGTCAGAAAACCAAGCTAAATATGGAACGTGGAGATGGAACAAAAACAAATACAGGCACTTATTAATATTTTCCCAGCATTAACTGGTCCTGCAACCTATCAAGGGCCCTAAGTTCATCACTGCTGATAATGTCACCACCAGTCTCCAGGATCCCCCATCTCCAGGCCTTGTCTATCATACAAATTCTGCCATTTTTTTCTCTTAAGTGTCTCCTGGACGGATGCCTGTCATATTACGTCCCCAGCCATCACTCCCTTGGATACCACTGGATACCTGTGCCTTCACTATACCTGAAATTCTTCACCTAAGTTACAAAAAGACACCCCTGGAACAACAGACACTCTGAAGTGAAAGAGCTCAGAGCCCTGTGGAAGAAACACACCAGGCATTAGCAACATTGACATGTATGTTCCTATAAGTAAAAATATACACTGGGGCCACTTTCCCTACAGATTCTGCACAGACAAATTCCAACCTCTTTCCTAAGG